CACACACACACACACACACACACACACACGTGTTTATATACAAGTAATTTCAACTTATATTAATATTCAGTTTCATATTATGTATTTATTATGAAACTGAACTTATAAAAAAGTTGAAATTGCTCAACTTATTTTGATGAGTTAAAATAATGTAAACACATAAGTTGACATGACTTACTGATCATATTTTTTATATATATATATATATAATGCAAAATTCTCGACGAAAGCTTAAACAAGTAAAAAGCTCCAACAGTAAACAAAAGGTTAATAAGTAATACCCAGGTAGAATTCAGGCATCCAGTAAACCTATCTCCCAGCTATACTGTCCTCCCAGCTTAAAACTGAGTCTATCTGCTATCTGACACTGTATAGACTACAAATATAAATAATATATATTGCCGGTTTAAGAGGCTCCAATAAAATATCCACCAGTGGTCACATCAGTCCCAACAGACCCGCTCATCGCTAACTCAACATTTACACTTCATTTCAGCTGCAAACGAACATTATACTGCTAACAAACAGATGAATGTATATATTTGTTCACATACGTGTCGTTCTCTTGACCACAGCCTGCCAAAGCCGGATTTCTTTATATTTTCACACCTCTGTCGCTAAGTAGCTAGCTCGTAGTAAGGGGGTAGGGGGGAGTTAGCCAGCTAGCAGTCAGCTACGACTCCTCTCAGATAACAAATAAAGGCCAGGACGCCGCCGAGGACATTTCTCATTCGAAAATAAAAAGCTGAGCCCTCCAGGAATAAAACTTGATTTCCGCTTTGTCGTTCCGAGTTGATTCCCGGCTACCGTCCTGCCATGTAATAATCTGCTGTTATAGGCTAATAGAGCTGTGTGTTTTTTCCACTCCAGTCAAAGATGTTTGTTAGCCTTCCCACTCTTCATTGCGTCTCACTGTTATAGTTTGAAGTAGGAGGCGCTATAGAGGTGGGAAGTAGTAAGTAAACTTGGATTAAAAACCTGGTTGGGGGGGGGTGGGGGGGGGGGGGAGTTCGCCAGCTAGCTACGACTCCTCTCAGACAACAAATAAAGGCCTGGACGCCGCTGAGGACATGTCTCATCCGCAAATAAAAAGCCGAGCCCTCCAGGAATAAAACTCAATTTCTGGTTTGTCGTTCCGAGTTGATTCGCGGCTACCGTCCTGGCATGTAATAATCTGCTGGTATAGGCTAATAGAGCTGTGTGTTTTTTTCCACTCCAGTCAAAGATGTTTGTTAGCCTTCCCACTCTTCATTGCGTCTCGGCTTGAAGTAGGAAGCGCTGTAGAGGTGTAAGTAAACATGGATTAAAAACCTGTTGGCTTGAAAGTTAAATGATTAATAAATTATATTTTCAAACACGATACTGTATAATCACGGAGTATGTTTAAATTAAAATTAAAATACAAACTGTTTAAAAACAAAATAATCTATATAAAAAGATAATTTATAAATTATTATTTATTAAATTGTTTAAAAAATAACCTTTATAAAAGAACAAAATAAACTAATTTTAACATATATCTTTTTAATAAAATTGTATACATTTTTTTCGTTCTTGATTAATTCAAAAGATCATGCTTGCTACAAAAAGCAAGCCATGAAAATTAATATATTTGTATTTGCATATATTCTATATTTGTGAATATAGAAATAATTAATCAATCAAGATATTGACGTTTAACATGCTGTCTCTTTCGACAATTTGTGTACACTTTTACAATAATAAAACCATACAAAATCGAATGTATTTTTACAAAAAGAACATTCTTGTCAAGCATCTGCAAACGTAGTGAGCAAAATATTTATAGGAAGATGTTAGAAAAATGTTCACATTTCTCGCCTTACTTGAAATGCAAAATTTGTAATATCACAGATGGGAATTCCAACAATATTTTTCCTTTGGAGTAACTTTCTTTTTGACATATCAGTATCAATATCAGATCAGTATCTTTGCTTTTTAAAAGAAATTACAATCCTTTATTTTTTTTATTATAAAATAATTTTAAAATAAATATCGGAAAAGTGCCATAGAGGCATGTAACCAATCAGAGGGTCCGCTAAGTCGCACGTGACCCGACGAGTCCTCAGTGCGGAAATCATACAAAGTGGATGTCAGTCCTCCTGTTAAAACGTCTTTGCGCTTCACTGTACCGCATCCGGAAATTACGCTGACGAGACATCGAAGAAGGAGCATCCCAGGAACTTCTGTCAGATCTGCTAGTGCAGCGATGTAAAATCTGCCAGACAGCTGATGATTACAGTCATGCGAGAGACATCTACCAAATACTCTTATTTAAATAAAGTTGTTTATGTGCATTGCATAACTTTTCTCAACATGTTTATGAAAGCATATAATCGTTTAATTTATTAAAAGGTTGCTACAAGTTACCACTAAATAGCCTTTAGCGTGTTTAAAAAAATGCTTGTGTGGTTTGTGTAGCCTATTTTCACTTTTCTTCAACAAAAGTGAAAGACAATCAAGTCACTTTTCATATAAGACGTTAGAATACCAAGGAAATTGATCATTGATATCACTAGTAAGAAAGGGTGGAGATGCTGCTGACATGCTTTTGTGGAGAAGAGATTATCTTCTCCACAAAGAAGGCAGAGAGAACTACTGTTTTATATGGAACTGGATTTAAAAGAGAGAGAAAAAAACACTCCTTCCTTCTTTCTTTCACTCATTAACAAGCCTACAAAGTGTAAATGAATACAACGGAATCATGTGGCCACATTAAATCTAACAGATAAATGTCAACCCATTTAAACCCAGTGACTAAAAACCACATAAGTGCCCACAGACAATAGCCAGCTGCCTGTTGGTGAAACCGGCTGAGGTGGGCAGCTGCCGATGTGGCAATAATACAGGAGGATTCATATACAGACACAGGACATTTTCACTGCTTACAGATCTTGTTTACTCCACTCAAAACACAAAGTAAATTTTCAGCAAAAGACGACACACTACACTCTTAAAAATAAAGGTTCCTTATTGATATCTAAGCATTATTTTGGATTATGAAGTCCATTATAATATTAAATATATCTATTATATAACATAATATAAAAATATTTATTTCCAGAAGCCACAATTTAAAGTTAAAATGTAGATTTCTCACAAATACACAGCTTTTTACTTCACAAGACATTAATTGATGGATTGGACTGGAGTGGTGTGGATTATTGTGAGGTTTTTATCAGCTGTTTGGATTCTGACGGCACCCATTCACTGGAGAGGATCCATTGGTAAGCAAATGATGTAATGCTAAATTTCGTCAAATCGGTTCAGATGAAGAAATAAACTCATCGACATCTTGGATGCCCTGATGGTGAGCACATTTTCAGCTAATTTTCTTTTTTGGGTGAACTACTCTTTAAACATCCATGAAAAATTTATGTTCTTTATATATGGAACATTTCCACAGTTTTTTCCAAGGTGCTTTATAGAGGGAAAACGTTCTTCAGATTATTTTAACAGACTGTTAACAGAAAGGTTCTTTGGGGAACACAAAATGATTCCTCAATTACATCGCCACGAAAACTTTGCAATCTTTATTTTCATGAGAATCTGTGTTTATTAACCTTCTGGATCCAAGGCCGCTTTTCAAAAGTTGTCCTATCCAAGCTGATAGGTACCCCTGGCACTTCTGTTTAATAAAAAAAAGCTCAAAATGTGTCAACTAAATGTTGTTTGTTTTTTAAATGTTCTTCTAAAATAGTATTCAAGTTAAAATAACAATTTTGATCATTTTAAGATTTACTGGGCCCTCCAGATGAGAACCACTGCTTTAGATGGTCTGGGCAAAATATATGCTCACAATAAAAGAACCACACAAGACATTGTGTAAATTTAAAATAAACTTTGTGATTTTATTGGTTTTATACTTTCTCATACACATCATACAATCCTAAATTTAAAAAGAAAACAAAAAGGTATCTGGTGGTGTCTCTGGGGGACTGGGCTTGCTGGTAAATTATTCATAAATGCTGGTTAACGTACTGCCGAACACGCCAGAGCTGAAACTCACATCACCCATCCGAATGTTCTGATGAACTACTGGGAGAAAAATGAATCTCGACACCTTCACTAAAATCAAGGCAATTCTTCTTCAGTTACAAGTAAGGAAGAAGTCACTTCTCCATTTTGCTTAATAACACGCAATGAAGGCGATTAATCATTGCTAGCATTGAAGGGATAATGCACTGGAATACAGTGCCAACGGTCTGATAAGACAATGAAGGCAACAATAGAGGTGACCAACTGGCTTTTAACCCACTGGAGCTTCATAGTCAAGCGGTTGACTACATTCACAGTTTTGTGCCCACCACACTACAACAATCTCACCAGGAACTGGAGTCTAGCCTTCCCATACACTGTCTGTATCCCTACACTCAAACCCTAGAAAAGTAGGATTATCCTCCAGCAAACGGTGCAGACAGAAAGCATGAGATCTAAACCCTCATTAAAAGGCTGTCAGGATGCCGGCTCAGCCAAGCATGGCGTGTACACATGCCAGCTCGCTGAGCCACTTACACCTGCCTTTCACAAAAGCCCTCTTGAGCTGGCAGCCCCACCGAGGATAATGCTGCAATCACAGACGGTGCTAATTAAAGCTCAGGTTATTTCCTTAATAAAGCAGCAAGGTCATTACCAGGACTTCAAATCGGATACATCCACCAAAGTTGATTTCAACAAGTCAAGGGACTGTATAGGAATCACGGAAAAATTAAAGAGACATTATGAGGGAAGATTGCTGGACCACATTAAGGATAAATACAAAATGGTTGTTTCAGCCCTTTTACACACACAAAAAAAAAGTAATTAAAAACACAACCAGCACAAAGAGACAAGAGTCACTCAAAGGATGACAGAGAACACACACAGAGCACCTTTCTCCTTACGTATGGGTAGTTAATAAACACTACATACACACAAAACAGACGGTTTTTTTTCCTGCTGAACCTTTCCTGTTCTTTCTAAAACCTTAAACATTCCATTTTAGAATGGCAGCCACATAGTATTTACATTAGAATCCTGTTCATTTGGAAAGCTGGCTTCATTCGCCCATGCAATGGGACGTTTGTTTTACATTCGTGTTGCAATTTTAATATGTGACTGTAGCAAACTCTGCATTTGGCCTAATATTTGTGCGAGCATGCAACGTTTATCTGTTGGGGAAGTGTGTGTGCATCTTGCACTATGAGCGGTATTAATTGTAAATACATGTTTTTGGAACGAAAAGGCATCGCAAATAAACAAATTATTAGCTGGTTCCATTAGCATCATTCATTGGTCTGCTGGTGGTTATCGAATACCTTGCTCTCGAAGCTCTGCGGCTCTTAGGGCAAAGGTAAAAAAAAGTTCATCGCTGGCGTGCATTAGCAATAACGGGCCTGCTAGGTTCCGTACAGCACTGAGGATCCTACACTAACTGCACTTTTTGTTGCGTTTGTGCGAAGAAACTGAAGAACGATCTTGTGCTTTGATTCTGAAAAGCCCAATCCAGTCTGACTCTACTCCATCAGGACCTATACTTTTTTTAAAAAATGCATATGTAAACAGACAGAAATATCATTAAGGGATAACCTACTGGATTTTTTTTTTTTGGACAAATGCTTCCAATCCTCCAGTACCAACCAACCAAATGATAATACAAAATAAATAGAATGCAATCACACAATTCAAGCTACATACAATATATTAATATAGATCTTCTGATGCCATACACTCATTAAAACAGAAAAGGAAAGAAAAAAAAACCTCAGTCACTCACTTATGTCAAGGCTCTTGCTACACCCCACCCCTCCCCCCTTCAAACCCCATCCGATAACTATTCATGCACCCAACATTAGCATGATAAGTCAATATATAAAAGAGAAATATTTTTTACATTTGACAT